ATTTTAAAGTTTTTCCAAACAACAAACTCATTTCCACCAAACGGCCGACCAAAAACGTATTTGTTTGTCTGGTGGAAGTATGAAAAGTGAGTATTAAAAAAATATATTTTTGATAATTGGATATTTTAGTTTTGATAAACAATATGCGCATTTAAAACTTATACGATGAGAAGATATCAATATTTCAGTATATTCAATGTTTGTCCTAAGTCCGTGCAGTTAAAAGTACATAATTTCAATGTTATTGAAAGTATGTCTTCCATTATTATGCTGTCTTAATTTATTTTTGTTTAGAGAAAACTTCCTGGTTTTGATTATTTTCGAGAATTTGGACAATTTTTGAATGTAAGCGTGTTTTACGAAACACCTTTTTAAAACGACTTACAAAACTATTATATTGTCACCCCATAAAGTTTGGTTAATTTTTTTTTGTCAGAACTGTTTATTAATAATCTATAAGATCTGTCGTACTATTTTTCTTTGTTTAAATTAACTGTTATGGCAGTGAAACCTATTTTTTTTTTTTTGTATTTAGTTTTAAATCCTCTTTACTGATTTGGTTGCTAACGCCATTAACAAAAAGTTTGAATTGAGAAATCATTCTTTTTCTAGCAATTTTTTTTTTAGAATTTTAGTGCTGAAAATAGGCTGAACGAATTTATGTTTTTGTTTTCAAGGAACTTTTTGTTTCTCTACGGGAGGGTCTGTTATTTCTACCAAGTAAGAGGAAATTATTTAGATCATCGACATTATTTATTGTATTTTTAGAATTTTTGATTTTGTTTACATTGTAAGTACATAAGATTGACTGGTTTTGATCCGAAACATTTGGATACGCTTTTTGAAATAGTAGTTGTTGTTTTTTTTGTTTCGACGTTTGATAATGGTTTACTGCAAGATAATGGTTTACTGCAACGTTTCATAATGGTTTACATGTTTACAGCATGTAAAACTTTATTTTCGCTTTGTTCACAATTAAAATTTATTTTTAAAACTTGACTTTTTGTTTCTACGTTTGAAGATAGTTTGCCACACGATTTTATTGTAGGTTCTGCCTCTGAAAAGTTATTTTTACTTTGGGCATGATAATCGAAATTTATAACTGGAGTTTGACTTGATGGAAAGATTTCAATTTTGAGGTTTCGTTTTTTTATTTTAAAGTTTTCAATAACATAGATTTCAAAAAGTATTTTCTCTCTCAAAAAATTGAGTTTCTCTTTTACTTCTTTGTTTCCATTTGAATTGCCTTTGAAAATTTAGCATTTCTTTTGATGTAGAAACAAGAACTTTATTAATGGGTTTTGGGAATAAAACCCATTATTTTAATCAAACCGCCTCAATAAATTCAATCCCTGCCAAACCTTTCAAACGGCCTTGAATTCAGACAGTGGTGAAATAAGGCATTGAGCAGAAGACCCATATACCGAAAGGATTTTCAGAAAGGGAAAACTAAAAGCATAATTAGCATAGTTGTTAGTTTTGTTTTACATGTGTTTTGCGTAAATAAGCATCCAAAAATCGCAGATTCTAAAGCCGCAAACTATTTAAGAGAATGTTTTACTTTTGTAAGGTATTTTTGCCAATTTGATAAAAAATGCCACCTGTTTAAGAATTTCCTGAGACCCTAAAATTCCTAATACTGGTTTAAACAAGAACGGTATTCTAATATATAAGATATTTATACATTTTTATATGAGCATAAAGATTTTAGAACTAGTTATAAAAATATCTTTATCTGTGTGTAGTATCAGTGATAATATTTAACTACCTCATCGCAAGTGTAAACAAAATTTATGGTCCCTCAAAAAACTGGGCCCAGTACCGCTTAGAAGCCCCAAAGTATATTAAAAGAATCTCTTGTAGTCTCTTTTTTTTAATCAACTATTCCAGGTAAACAGAAATTGGGCACGTTAGCCACGCATACTAGTCAAAGGAAATTTACCGCTCTATTGTGTAATATACGCATATTTCGAGCTGTACCGTAGTAACGATTTATACTTAGATTAGGAAATCTAAAAATGTGGTGATTTGAGCCTGGTAACAAAATTACCCTAGAATATTTACCATTCCTACTCCAAATGTGAAGGCAATCAAATTGTTTTTTTTACTATTTTTATTTTCTTACACTTAAAGTCATATAAAAACAAAGTATATGAATTTATAAAATTCATATACTTTGTTTTTTGTATTCAAAAGTTATGAAATGTAAAGTTTACACTTTCACCAAATGGGATAGTTGTTTTAATCTTTTTTTAAACATTCTAATGAGATATAAGCAAGAATATACTTAAATTTGGCACTTAAGTATGCTCTTGTTTTTACTACAATATAATGTCACAATATATTAAAGAAATACGATACTATCTAAGAGTTTTTCAATCAAGTATATTTTCTTAAATATATGCTCTATTCAATATATAAATTTTACTAAGTTCATTAGATTATTTAAACTAACCAGGTTATTTAGGTTATTTACGTTTGGTTATTTAAACTACCCAGGTTCAATTTTATTGTAATAATATATACGAATTGTTTTGTAATGGTTTTATGAATGACAGTTAACTGTCAGTAATTATTTTAACTAAAGTAATTGCTTTTTTAAAATTATAATAATATTGCAATTAAAGTTAACCAAGTAAAAAAAGTTTGAAACGTATCATTATTTTAAATTTTTAATTCCTTTTACTTTTTTTCATCCTGCAACTTTTTTTTTAACCGTTTTCGATTTTTTTTAAATACAAAAGAAAACACTATTGAAAACACTATTGAAAAACACTATTTATAGATATTTTATACATAACATATGAAAAGAGATTATTCAGTATAAAAAAACGGAAGGATTTTT